TTGGGTCATGAATGTATGGGCCATACCAGAGGAAAGGGTTAGACTGGTCCCATTCAAGATGTCGGGCCAGTCCATAACAGTTGCCTCATTGAATCGAGCCATGAACTCGCGGAGGGACTCGAAGGGCCCTGGCGCATGTTGATTAGGCTGGTGGTGGGCACCTTTCTGTGTTTAATGGCCATGAAGTGTTGTACCATATTTTTGGTTAAGTCTTGGTAACCGGTAATTGAGAATCTTTGCAAGCTCATGTACTAGCGCAAGGTTACATCCTTGAATGTTCTTGCCATGAGTTTTCACTTCAAGGAATTAGAAGCACCAACAATCGCCATCTGATTGTTAATTTTGATAATGTTTTCTTATGGTTCGTTCTTACCATCAAAAGATGGCAAGGAAGACAATTTGAAGTTTTTATGGACAAGGTCGTCCTATATTTGTTCAGCCAAATGTTAGAGGTCCAATAACTCTTATTCGGTTTCTCTTTCTGGATGGCTCTGGGCCTAGACCGTTTGGACACTGTCCTACAGAGACTTGTTTTGTTATCGTAAAGCCTCCATAGCAGCCAACAATTGTGCCATGTCCAACGGAGGTGGTGAGTCACTCCTACTAGGGAATGACCTAGACATTCTGAAAATGTAAGCTTTAGGATTGGTGTGTGGCCTGGGAAAGTTTTACTTAGCCCCCATGATGGGCATCACATGTTCCTGAAAAACACTTTTGGATAGGCTCCTTGAAGTGAATCAGGTGAGACCACAACTGTTCTATATTTTCGTGATTGTTTTCTTACTTTTGTGTTTTGTTTATTAGTTGTCTCTTTTCCTCTCAGAGAGGCTCCATTTTATACCTACACCCATAGGTCTTGCATTCATTGATTGGTGACTCCTATCTTCGGCCATAAAGAGGATTTCTTAACTCTTACCACCTCATCATGAGGTATAACAACCTTTTTACTAGCTTCTATAAATCTTATGCGGCCTTTGAAATACTGTAACGGTTATGCAGACCTTACACATCGGCCCCGACTAGGTATGTAATTCGTATTTCAACTTGATATATTGGCTTTAGTTTCCTCATATATATCGACTCCATGCTTGGACGGTCGGTTTCCATAATCATATGTTTCCCATCTGACTTGTAACCCACCCTAGGAATTTCGGAGTACACAGTTAGGTTGCAAGAAAATTGACCATTGGAAGACAGACTATCCAAACAAGTCATTCAACAGTGGTTCAACAAATATAGTTTAGACTAATAGTTCCTGTAGTGAATTTAATTTTCTTTGTGTTTCATCTGTGAAGTGCACTGATGCCTGGATCCTTGATTATAGGTGCTCCATCCATATGACAATGCACTGTGAGTGGTTCAACTCTTTTAAATCAAGTGATTTTTTTGTCTATTTAGCTGATCATAAAACTTGAACCATTATTGGAAAGGGGAAAATTAAAACTGATTTGGATGATGGTTGCGTGCGCATGTTGAGTAAGGTGCGTTATGTTCCAGAATTAAGGATGAATCTGATTTCTCTGGGTACTTTTCAAGTGAATGGTTATTCATTCCGGTCAGATGGAGATAGAGACATGATGAGAGTTAGAAAGGGTGTAATGACAATGGTAATGACAAGGAGGACTGCAGGAAACATTTATAAGTTGTTGAGGGCACAATTATGGATAATTTAGCATCTGTTGAAATTGATAATGACGAAACCAAATTGTGGCACATACATTTGGTCATCTTAGTGAATATGGGATGATGGAACTACATAAGAGGAATATTCTTAAGGGTGTTTGCAGTTGCACAATTGGATTGTGCAAGTATTATGTTATTGGGAACTAGTGTAGAGTTTGTTTCAAGACCAGACAACACAAGACCAATGGAATCTTAGACTATATCCATTCTGATATTTGGGGGCCTACAGAAGAGCCCTACATTGGAGGTTCCAAGTACTTTGTAACATTAACTAATGATTTTTATTATAAGGTATGGGTTTATCTTATGAAATATAAGTCCGAGGTCTTTGCCAAGTTCAAACGATGGAAGGAAAATGTTGAGAAGTAGACATGGAGAAAATTAAAGTGTTTGTGGTATGATAATGGAATAGAATACACTGACAAGAATTTGATACATTTTTGTGAGGATATTAGAATCCAGAGGCACTTTTCTGTGAGGAAGTCACCACAACAGAATGGTGTTACGGAGAGGAGAAACATGACTATGATAGAGAAGACATGGTGCTTTCATCTAAATGTTGGTCTTTCAATTTTTTTTGGGAAGCAACACTCAATATGGCATGATATCTAGTCAACAGATCACCACATGATTTATTGGATGAAAAAGTTGTAGAGGAGGTGTGGACAGGTAACCTCATTGATTTGAGTAATTTGAGGATGTTTGGTGTCCAACATATGTGCATATTTCTAGTGAGGATTGGTCTAAACTTGTCCCCAAGTCAAAACAATGCATCTTTATTGGCTACAATAAAGGTGTGAAGGTGTACAAGTTATATGATTTGATTAAGAGGAAGATGGTTATCAACAGGGATGATATATTTGGTGATAAATCAAAGTTGAAACAATCATATGTAACATTTGTTCCAGATATTGAGGTAGAACATTCCAATAAAGACAAGATTCATGTGTACCTAGAGGAGCCACCAATAAGTTAAAGGAAGATTATAGCCCAACAATAAGATGAACCAGACTCAGATTCAAGTAGAGGGTAAGATTCAGATGGAGTACAAGAATATACACTTGTGTGTGATAGGGAGCCTCACTGTATTACACCTATAGTGAGATGTGAGTTTGAAGAGTTAGCAACATATGCTCTTCTTACCAGTTTAAGAGACACTTCTACTTTTTGAGAGGCTATGGCTAGCCAGGAGAAAGATAAGTGGATAGGTGCTATGGTGAAAGAGATGGATTCCTTGAAAAATAATGAGACACAAGATCTTGTTCAATTTCCACATGGAAAATGAGTTATTGGTTTCAAGTGAGTATATAATAAAAAGCCATCAGTAACAGAAAAAGAAGGTGAAAGGATCTCCTAGTTGCAAAAGGGTATTCACATTAGAAGGAGATTGATTATGATGAGATTTTCAATTCGATGGTTAGACACACTTATATCAGGTTAATATTGGCCCTGGTAGTTAAGATGAATATGTATTTAGAGTAGATGGATGTTAAAACAACTTTCCTTCATGGTAATCTAGATGAGCAAATCAACATGAAGTAGCCAGAGGGATTCGCTGATACGGGACATGGCATACTTGTTTGCAAATTGAAGATGTATTTGTATGGTTTAAAGTAGTTTTCAAGGCAGTGGTACAAGCACTTTGATTCATACATGCTCCAGATTGACTATAAAAGGTATGATTATGTTTGTTGTGTTTATGTGAGAAGCCTTGATGATGACTCTTTTATTTTCCTATTACTTTATATTGATGATATATTAATTATTGTCAACCATTTGCATGATGTAAATGAATTGAAGACCAAGTTTGAAAAGGAGTTTGGTATGAAGGACTTGGGTGCTACAAAGAAGATTTTTGGGATGGAAATTCACAGAGACAAAGGAACTAATAAATTATGGTTGCCTCAGAAATTTATGTTGAATGTGTTTTGAGAAGATTTGACATGAGTAAAGCAAAGCGTCTGAGTACTCCATTGGAGAATCATTTTAAGCTCTTTTTGGAACAATATCGAAAGACAAACATAAATATTAAAGGTATGCCTAAGATTCTTATGCCAATCAAGTTGATTATTTGATGTATGCTATGGTTTGCACTAGACTGGATTTGACACAAGCAGTTAGTCGAGTGTGCAAGTTCATGTCCAATCCAGGGAAGCAACATTGGAAAGCAGTCAAATGGATCCTAAGGTACTTGAAGGGTATACCAGATCATGGTATCATGTTTAACATAGAGCAAGATATTCCATCAGTTGTGGAATATGTGGATTCTAGCTATGTAGATGATCTGAATGATATGAGTTCTACAAAAGGTATGTATTTACTCTTGCAGGGGACTTATATGCTGGAAATCATCAGTTCAGTCCATAGTAGCTATGTCTACAACTGAGGTAGAATACATGGCAGTAACTGAAGCTTCCAAAGAAGTCTTATGGCTTACATGATAGGTGAGAGAATAAGATGTTGAGCAAGGTGGAGTTCAGTTGCATTGTGATAGTCATAATGCTATCTATTTTGCGAACAATCGGATGTAGCATGCTAAGACCAAACATATTGATGTGACGTTTCACAAGATCAAAGAGTTGTTGGCATCCAGACAGATATCACTTCGGAAAGTTCACACTTCAGAGAATGTAGCTCATATGTTGACCAAGCCAATCACCAGTGACAAGTTTAAACAATGTTTGAACTTGTTACATGTTTTTAAGTGTTAAGCAGAAGGTGTACCTCCTCAGTTTTCAGGATGAATTGTTATACATAAAATTTTTATATAGGTTTGATATTCGACAAGGTGGAGATTGTTAAGTATGACTTATATTGTTGAGATAATTATGGGTTGTTGAGATAATTATGGATTGTTAAGAGTATAACTCATATTGTTGAGATGATTTTGAGTTCTAGAAATAACTATAGATTGCTGAGAGAATAACTCTTATTGTTGACATAATTATGAGTAAAGATAATTATTTATTGAGGAAAGCTAAGGATTAGAATTTTAGATAACCTAAAACATGATATATATATATATATATATATATATATATATATATATATATATATATAACTTATAACATTGTAATCAAATCCAATTCCCAAGACATAAATAAAAAGAATTATAATTACTCTATCATCCGATACTAAATAATTGATTGAACTACATAAACAAAATTTATGTATACTTCTCTCTATTTTAATTTGTATTCGTGTTAGTGTTAAAAATATCAATGAACAAAATGGCACAACAAATATACTATCAATATTTTATATTAAAATAAAAATATGCATGCATGAGTTGTTATATTTAATAATTAATAAAGAACTTACAAAATAGTCTCACAGTAGACAACGAATTTTTGATCTGGTGCAACAGCAACTCCATTAGCAAAGTAGAGATTACGTGCAAGCAATGCTACTTTTTTTGTTGCTGGATTATAGCTCATGAATCTCCCATGAGGTTTACGTTCCGCAAAATCAAAATAGAAATCCTTCAAATTGTATTTGTATGTTGCGTCTGTAAAATAAATTGTTCCATCTTCACCTACGTCAACTCCATCCGTTAAATTGAATTTCAACCCGTTGTATTCATTCGCCAGAACTTCAACATTAGATTTATTTCCTTTTACTCTTACTCTCAATAGCCCCTACATCATTAATATTATGGCATGTTGAATTGCAACACTGAAGAGAACGATCTCGAGTTAACAATATATATATATATATATATATATATATATATATATATATATATATATATATATATATATATATATATATATATATATATATATATATATAAACTAAGTTAAACTTATAAGAAAAGAACCCTAAATTTTATAAAAACTAGTACAAGTTTAATCCTAAATATTTATGTGACTTCTATTAATGTAAAGATTATGTGGGTAATTACACGATAGAGAGATATAGCATAATGTACAGCGATTCATTTTGGGACTTACCAAATCAGCGTCGGCAACTATGAGTTCACCTGTTTTTTCCAAAGCAAGTCCAAGCGGTCTTCCACCGGTGTTAACCCAGTTTTTAACAACCGAATCAGCCACCGATTTGTTCACCGTAATTCGCTTGATCCACCCATCCTCACAACCAGTGTAGATAAGACGGTTCCTCTTATCATAAGCCAGGTCTTCAGGTCCTTTCACTTTTCCCTCCACCACAACTTCCGAACCAACCAACATGCGCGGGATGACAGTGGGGGCCGATGCGGTTCGGGGTAACTCTCTTGCTGGAAAGTGAGCTGGTTTGAAGGGTTCGAGTTGGTAGAAAACCGCAGTTAACGCTACTGGAAAAGCTATGACTAATAAGGTTGTTGAAAGACATGATCGTGTTAGTTTTCTTTTAAGTTGTGGGGAAGTAACGGTATCGCATGATTCTGACATTGTGGTTTTGAGGGACTAATTGAAATTTAGAATAAAATAAAATGCAATGCATTTAATTTAAATCTAGTCGGATAGTCCATAGAAAGAGAACACCTGCATGACATGGGAGAGCATGTGTTATAGAATTTTTTTAAATTTTTTTTATGGCTAATATAATAGATAAATAAATAAAAAAAAGGTAAAAGAAGTCCACCAAAATATAGAGATGTGTTATCAATCAGCACAAAAGTACTATGATGAAATACAAAACTAACTGAAAAATTAAATACTACGCCAAAAAAAAATTTAAAAAAAGCACTTTTTTTTGCCATTTAACAGCGCTGTCTATGGTTGCGCTGCTGTAGGTATAGACAACGCTTTTTTTTACGCAAAAGCGCTGCCATATGTATTCTTTAGCAGCGCTTTTCTCTGGAAAAGCGCTTTCTAAGGTAGGCCTCTAGGAGCGTTTTTTCCTGAAAAAACGCTTTCTATTGACCCCCTTTACACAGCGCTTTCAAAAGCGCTGTCTAATGTATTTTTTAAGGCATCTTTAGGCAGCACTTTTCTAGGAAAAACGCTTTCTAAAGTAGGCGTTTAGCAGCGTTTTTTCCTAAAAAGCGCTTTCGTTGCTTCACGTAAATTTAAACATTTTTTATGTAAAAACGCTGCGTATTCTTTCTTTTTTAGAATGCATATTTTTGGGAATAATCCCATAAACCTGTACTGCAAGCCTTACATTTCAATGATCCTTTATTTCAACAAAGAAGCTGTTACATACAAAAAAAAAATGCATTATATACCATTATAATACCATTATAATACCATTATATACCATTATATATCAAAATATAAACACCATTATAATTCAATTCACATGTTTGCAACTAAGTAGGAGGAGGATGCACTATAATAAGGATAAATTCATGACTATTTCGAACAACAAACTCCAAGAATTTCGTATAAAGGTGATAGTACTCAAGTACAACAAAACCTTCTATTCGAATCCGCTTATATATGATATGTGCCAAATTCGTTTCAGTCTGAAATCGCCAAAATCTGACGAGTGAACGATCCTGGTCCTGCAAATAAGGTATGAACAGAACAACACGGTCAATTAAACTAACTTGGGTCCAACAGAGTTAAAAATTTTCATAACACTTTTCAACTTCCAATACCTTATATGATTCTTTTCTGAATAAAGTATTCACACAATTCCTCCTTGATTTCTTCCAATTGATTTTTCGTGTAATGAGCACACTTGCATTCATCAAAGTACTACATAACAAAACATAATATGCATGATTTAATTAAAAGTAATAAATTATATGAAATATCTGATAAATATTAAAATAAATCCTAAGTTATAAATCCATACCGTGATTGGAATCTCTATTCGATTCAAAAGAAGGATTTCTTTCATAAACCTCAAAACAAAGTATCCGCAATCTATACTGTTACGCTATTGAGCACACTACATAGAAAAACAAATAAGAATGTATAATTGTCTTGTTTTATCATGTAGCATCACTATTATAAGCAAAATTGTGAAAATTAATGTACCTCCACTTTAATCCATGTAATGTTGCTTGATCTAGACTGTGATACTCGAGCTTCTCTTTGAGAGCGGAATACTTGTATTGATCTAACAAAATAAAAACATATATTTAGAATAATCTCACATAAATAATTAAATATACAAATACACACGAGTATTTAGAACAATCTCACTTACGTATCAATCATTAATTTCATATCTGGATAATTTTTCCATTCACCATCTACCGAATTCAGATAATACACCACTTCTTTAAAAGGATCAATAGCAACCAACAACCAATGATGTCTATAAATTAAAACAAAAGTTTAGATGAAAATCTTCAACATAAAAGATACAAAGACTAGAATGAACTTAGAATGAAGTACTAACCCCACAGGAATCGTATTATACGGTAAAAGATACAAGCTTTATGTATTGCTGGCCATGAATCTCCCAACTAAGTAATTTCTTACTGAATCTGGATCCTGAACAATTGACGCTCCATTGACACGGCAGGCAGACACGAAATGGAATTTGTTTGACAATTGATTCCCGCGCATCAATTTTTCATACAAGAACCTTAAATATAAACAAAATAAACATTAGACTATTTTCATTGAAATGTGTAAATAAATTGTTCGACTAATTAAATAATAGATTGATCGCATTACCAGATGTATTAGTGTACAACACCGATGCCTAACTCTGTATGCTGAAAAATTTGTTCCATTTCCTCTTTTGCAATTGTTTCAAAGTAAGAAAAACCAAACCTACCTTCCTCCATATCCATTTGACGAATAACACCATTCATCAAATCTGATGTTCTCATATGTGTTTCAAGACACATCCGGAATCGAGGTACAAAAGGTTTTCTTGCCCCGGTTCTTGGAAGATCATTTTTTTTTGTTGGGTACGCTACTAAATTTCTGGCTCACTTGTTGTGACCGTTGAGCAGGTACCTAAAAATCATATAACTTAGGTAAATTATAAAATCATGCAGTTTTTGAATTCATATCATATAATTAACACTTTAAATGTACCTCTTTTTGTGATGCAATAGACTCGCTGTGTCGCAAAATCTCTTTATCCTTAGATGCGGGTTTTGTAGGAGTCTGAAATTAACATGTAATAAAAATATACGTAATGGTTCAGAATTGAAACTTGAATACTAAAAGATTCATAATGGTTTTCAACATACCTCATCATCTATGAAAATGAAGTCCTACGACCATGCAACAAATGATTCTATTGTATCTCGTAGCAATGTTGTCTCTGAAATAATGTCAGGTACCGGTAGCAATGCATCCAGATCTAATGTAACATCAACCGATACTTTCAGATGTCCATCAGGGAGCGGTCTATGGTGAAGTAAATCTCTCAAAGTATTATTCACTTTTCCCTTGCCAACTAAGCGATAAGTCGGTGACGATAAGTATAGCTGACAAGATGAAATGCCCTAAACCAATAATAAATATGTTACTGTTAATGTGTATATATGTCAATTAAAATAAATGTGCTAGTTTAATTTCATAATAACATATATAATTACCTCGGGAAATTTATTTTGACAATTGATACTAGCTTTGTCACTAGTTTCTTTCGCCTCTGAACTGCACTTTTGCACCATATCTCTCTCTCTATCCTGTTGCAATTCACGGACTTGCGCCTTTAATTCCTCCAACTTTTACATCACTTCTTGATTGCTAGAATTTCTTTTCCTTAGATGCTTATACAAGGAAGATGGAGTTACACCATGTCCTTTACCCCTCACTCGACCGGGATACTCAGCAACATTTAGTGCACGACTAAGTACGCTCTTGTTATCCTGGTCCTCATCTGTGGTTACCGATTGAGATAGAGTCTCCTGAAATTCATTTACATATATATCAAAAATTATTAGTGGAGATAAAAAATTAAGTATATACTAATAAACTTTTGATTTACTTAAAGGCACAATGTTATACTTATACATTCATCATAAATATGTTGAACATCTTCCCTAACAACTCCATCCTTGCCCACACGAGCTTCCTTTCATAAAACATGCGTCGGAAGTTATGTTTCGTCACTTTTCGTCTCCTCTAACTATGCATTGACACAAATCATAAGATCATCAATTATAACACATTGAGACAATTAATAATATCATAGCATTTATATATACTTACAATTTTTTGCTGTAAGTGTGCATATCCCAAACGCCCTTTTTTGTATGGATACGTGGGTGTTGATGCTCTCTCGCGATTTATGTCACTCACTTTCTTGAATTTCTCATTTTCTATTCGTTTGGATACAAATTCATCCCATTCTTTGGGTCCAATGAAGTTGTTATACTTCATTGGACGATCTGCTTTAACAAGATTTCCTTGCTCATCCTTAAGAAATGTGTCTGTTAAAAAAGTTCTCCACCCTCTATGTCTTTTTCTGGCCACTTGAAGACAATACTTTTTTCGGTTATCTTCAATGTTAAAAGACCTCTACGAAAAAACATGTGCATTATAGTGTGTTAGTATAAGTAATTTAAAGACATTACCATGTGATCTTCATTAAGGGAACAAATATTAAGCATACATATAAGACATTTCCAAGACTTACTTAGTTAGGGACTAAAATAACAAAAACATTATACTTTAAAGCTAAATTATATGGTACCTGTATATCAGTCCAAATTTTGTCTTTGTAGGAATCCAAATCTTTATTAGTCCATTTATCAAAGGTGATTGGAACGTGCATACGAGCAAGTGTACCAATGTAGCTTGTCAACTTTGCACCATTAGGATCGATTACTTGGTTATCATCATTCCAATGTACATCATATTTTACTCCTTTATCTCTATCAAGAATTATTTTTCTCATAATAGTGATGTCTCGTGTAATTTCTTCCTCTGATGTCTTATCTGGAGCATTTGTATCTTGTGAATTTTCTTGATTACTATCCATTGACCTGTAATAAAGAAAAAAGTAAAAATGAAATGACAAATATAAAAATCCACTAAGGAAATATAAAAAAATGAAATGCTCATCCATCATAGCAGTTCATTCAAATGGTTATTAGTCAATTAAGAACTTCTTGACCAAGCAGTTATTTTGGTAAAGATGCATGACTTAATTGTTTTTTTCTTTTCTATTTGACAGGTTTGACATGAAAATAAATAAACTACAAAATATGGTTCATACATGTCATATGAAATTGTGAAAGGAATAACTAAACTCGACTAAATATAGTTCAAGAATCGATTTTCATGTACCGCTGCTATCCGAATTTTCAACCATCATATTTATTAGCCTAACGATTCCAAAAGCTTATTCATTTATCATGTGACCATATACAAGGATAGACAATTCAATCTTACAAGTATTATAAGACACAGTACATTGTCCAACTTCTAAAATAGACAACATTCCTTGTGTTTAAGTTGCTAAGAGTCCTAATGCATTCCATAAACACGGAGCTTGTGCAAACATTTTTCAACCACGACAACAT